AAAGCTTACGGTAACGGCGACGGATCCTTGAGATGAGATTTGAAGCAGTTCCGGAAGGAGGACAATGATGAGAGCTTGAGCTTCTCTGAGTCGTGATGATGATGATTAACGAAGGAAGCTTCGTCTTCTTCTTCGAAGAACCGTCCCTTTCTTCTCCTTCTGGGTTCGTGGGTTCCTCCTTTCTTCTGATAAGTTGTGAGAGCGTCCGCCGTTTTTTCTTTTGTCTCCTTCTCCTTTTTCTCAAATGCAACTCATGTTTATATAAGTAACAAATTAGAGTTAACTCTAACCTAATGCCCACTTTAAAGCCCAACTTAAAGAATTAGTCAAAACTAACTAAAATTTAAACAAACTTAAAACCCTATTTATTTACTAAACATTAAACATATTATAAAAAGAATAAAATCTTTTCTAATATTTTTAATTTTATGATTTTTGGATGTTTTTATGAATAATATGAAAAAAAAGTGAAAAAATAATATATTTTTTAAAAATAATATATTTTTTAAAAATAATTTAAATAAAATACGAAAATAATAATTAAATAATAAAAAAAACTATTTTTGTTATTTTTTTTATGAAAATAGAAAAGTTAGAATAAAAATAAAAGAAACAACATCAGAAAAAAATATAATTTCAAGCTATTAAAAAAAATAAACTAATTATAAGTTATAAAAAATAGTTTTTAATTATAAGTTATATATATATATATATATATATATATATATATATATATATATATATATATATATATATATATATATATATATATATATATATATATATATATATATATATATATATATATATATATATATATATATATATATATATATATATATATATATATATATATATATATATATATATATATATATATATATATATATATATATATATATATATATATATATATATATATATATATATATATATATATATATATATAGATTTTTAAAAAGGTTTGTAGTAACTTTAACTAAATAATGGTTTTAATTTACAAACTTAGATTTAATTTTAAAAAGGTGGTTTAAATTTGGAAAAATTTTTTTTAGTTTTAAGAAAAGATTTTAATTTTGGAAGAAAAAAAAAACTTTAAAAGAGGTTTTAACTTTAATAAAAGAGTTTTAAATCTTGTTAAAAAAAAGCTTTAATGTTGAATAAAAGGTCTTAATGTTAGCTTTATGTTTCTTTTGTTGTATTTCTTTTTAAAAATGGTTTAATTAAAAATAATGCACTAACCTCTAAAAAATGAATTTTGGTTCAAGAGGAGTTTTAATTAAAAAATTCATTTTAATATTAACTAAATCTAAAAAGTTAGGAAAAGCTTACGGTAACGGCGACGGATCCTTGAGATGAGATTTGAAGCAGTTCCGGAAGGAGGACAATGATGAGAGCGGCCGCCGTTTTTTCTTTTGTCTCCTTCTCCTTTTTCTCAAATGCAACTCATGTTTATATAAGTAACAAATTAGAGTTAACTCTAACCTAATGCCCACTTTAAAGCCCAACTTAAAGAATTAGTCAAAACTAACTAAAATTTAAACAAATTAAAACAAACTTAAAACCCTATTTATTTACTAAACATTAAAAATATTATAAAAAGAATAAAATCTTTTCTAATATTTTTAATTTTATGATTTTTGGATGTTTTTATGAATAATATGAAAAAAAGTGAAAAAATAATATATTTTTTAAAAATAATTTAAATAAAATACGAAAATAATAATTAAATAATAAACAAAACTATTTTTGTTATTTTTTTAAAAAAAATAGAAAAGTTAGAATAAAAATAAAAGAAACAACAAAAAGTGAAGAAGGTGGGATTCAAACTCTCAACCTCTCACACTCACAACTCCTTACACACGGTCTCTTGCCAATTGTGTCATTTTATTCATTCGAAATAAAGTGGCACTAGAAACTATGTAAAGATAGGACAAATTTGGGGTGCAACAATCTTCTTCACATGATCAGCAGTAGAACACCCTTTGTCCAGGACCTTTAGTCCTGCAACAAGATTTTGAAACCTTGAGAACATGTTCTCAACTATTTCATTATCTTCCATATTGAAAACTTCATATTTTTGAATCATAGCAATAACTTTGGTTTATTTGACTTGTGTGTTTCCTTCGTGAGTCATCCTTAAAGAATTAAATATCGACTTGGGAGAGTCTCTATTTGTTACCTTCTCATGCTTAGTATATGAGATGTCGTTTAGTAAGATGGTTCTAGCCTTGTGATGACTTTTATAATCTTTTTTTTGTTGGTATGTCACCACTCTTGTTTCTATTTTGTTGCCGCTAGCATTTATTGTGTGTATTTAGCCATTAATTACCATATCCCATAGATCTACATCGTGACCAAGCAAGAAGCTTTCTATTATGCCTTTTTAATAATCAAATCTTTCTCCATCAAAGACATGAGGTTTAACACTATAATGATCTCTAACAGCAGAAGGAGGTGGTGTAATAGCTTCCATTGTGTTTCACACTAGATCTTTATCCGACACAGTTAAGTGTTTGATACGCAATCAACACCAAAATCGGAGCTCTGATGCCAATTGAAGATGACAAGAAACATAAGAAAAAGGGGTTCGAATTGGGTTTCTAAGATTAAAACTTTTGGATTCCCAAACACCCAAAATAGAACCAAGAGTAAAAGTAAATGAATATAATTGTTTTTATACTGGTTCACTATTAGCAAAGCTAATCCAGTCCACCCGTCAAGGTGATTTTTCCTTCTCAATAAGGACTTAATCCACCATAATCACCAGATTATAGACACACAAAGACTAACCGTCTTTGTCTTCTCGAGTATCCTGGCTAAACCCTAGTCACTTAAGGAAACAACCTCAATACAATGAGATATAAGTGTTTGTGTTTACGAAGATGCTTCAAGAAAGTAAATTATACAAAGTTTAAGTACAAACAAATATTCACACAATAACAAATAAAAACTCTATGTGTGTTTTATATCTATATTTACAATAATAGTATGTTCACCAAAGCGTTGTAGTGTGAATAGAGTAGCAGAATTAGCAGCTTCATTCATTCTTCCAAGTCTCCTTTATATAGGCATGAAAAGATCCGTTGGAGGGTAGAATTGACATCTTCATAAATGAGTTGTCACCTTGCATAACAGTTTCCAAGGTGGAAGACAAAATGATACAATAGTATAATCCTTGCTCCACGAGATCAACATAGTGAAAGGAATATTTGATCTTGTACTGTGTTCTATTTTTCTTAGGTAAATCCTTTTGGTTTCATCTTCTAATCTTCAGAGGCTTCTGAGTAAATGTTGTTGAAGCACGTTTAGAAGGATCAAGAGACTGATTGAGAGAAGCTTCAGAACCTTGTCTTCAAAGTCTTGACATAGTTCCTCTGAACCTGGTCTTTAGAGATTATTCTTCAGAGTCTTGAAAGCTTGATAAATCTGTAGAGGTTTTTATATCAGAGTTACAGTCAAAAGCAATAGCACAAATGTTCATCAGAACCATTGACTAAGAGCATTCCAAAAATTGACGTAATCTTGAAGCGCACACTTGTATCTCTTCATAGTCAAAGTGTGTTGAGTCCAAATTCTGATGATGTCACATGCCAATTCTTTAGAGTCTGAACCTGTTAGCAAAAGCTACACACTATAAAAAATCATTAGGGTACAAAATTGTTCTCTAAACAATGTATTTTTATCATCAAAACTAAAGACCAGATAAACAACTAAACTTTGTTCTTACAAAATTTGTAGTATACTACAACTTTTCATAAATTTAGGATTTTTCTTTGGGGATGTTAAAAACGCCATGAACAATACTTATAACTTGAAAACTGAAGTGCTATTGCCAGTCGTGTCATCTGTGTAACTTTTTGTCTTATATCCTCAAATTGAATTAATCTTTTATAACTTATAATTCCAATGTAACTATGGTACATTTTTACGAACATTTGGTTTTTCAAAATGATTATGGGCCGAATTTATGAAGGGCAAGTGTGAAATCAACATCCTATTGTTTAAAAAATTGCATTATCTTGGTTAATGTTGTCATATACAATATAACTATTTTGTATATTAGTGTTAAGGTTACGGAGTCAAAATATTTAAATTAAGAGATACTATAGGATCAAACATTCAAGATGAGTCAAAACATTTAAATTAAGAGATACTATAGGATCAAACATTCAAGATGAGAGTTATTCTAGGATCAAGCAGTAAAATCAAGTCATAACTAATTAGAAGAAATTAAACCATAACAGTAGGAAACAATTATTATGAAATCAAATACATCATCCTTAAAAGCTCTTCAAGATTGAATAAAAAATAAGTATAATGCAAAATGTAACAAAAATCATTTGCAAAGAAACCAAAATTTATATCCAAATTGTTCAACTCTCTTCATTCTCTAACCATTTGTTTTCTCCTCTTTATAACTTTCACTTTCAAGAGTGAGCATATATAGTAGTTAGCACATTAACATGTGCTTCTTGTATAAGCCAAAGTCAATACTCAATATGCTAAACTTAATGAATAAAATTATTTAAGAAACACTTTTTTTTCAGTATGACCTCAGCTACTCTTTAAGTCCAAATAAAACATAAAATAAGCCATGAAAGAGAGTAATTTTTCTGTCATATAGTCCACATACATTTATTTGATGAAGAAAACTAACAAGTAGAATTAAATGAAATAAAATAAAGTTACTCATCATTTGTTTATTGCATGTAAATGCCTTGGAGTCACACTTGTAGATGTTTCATAGATAAAATTCTTACATTGTACAACTTCCTTTTCTTGTAAAGAAAACTAGGACATGTTTGGATTTGACTAAAACACTTATGATGCTATTTGGAGAGTTTATATATAGAAACAATTTATGACATGTCATAAATTATTTTTAGCTTATTTCAATACATTCTTCAGAATACTATCAGTCTTTTGTATTTTTTGGTGATGACCTAGTTCATTATATGTCTGTCATATCAGTAACTAGTTTTCTTCCAAGTAGTAAATCATTGAGCTTTTTTGTCCTTCAATGGTCCTCTAGGAATTTTTCTGAGATAATTCTTTTCAAACTTCCTATACATTTTCTTGAGTACTAACATGATATCTTCAAACAGAATGTTAATTTCTTCATCGTACCGTTCGAACAAAAGTGGCAATGTTTGCATGCAGAGATAGCCTTATAAACCATCAACAAAAAGAATATAACTTGATTAATTAGTACATTTAACCTTTAGTATGAAATAAGAAAGAAAAAAAAAAGGAGAGAAAAAAATAAGAACTTGTTACCCATGTATAGAAGATTAACAAAGCTGAAGTAGCTTCCGATCACCGAGATTATATAGAGGGAAACAATGATCTGAAATTTTTATGAGAAAATTAGTTCTGGAAACTTTTGTAGGGTTCTGAATCTATATAAACATCTATATCTACCACAATGTATCCAACCAATACAAAAGGATACTTACAACACAAGAAAGCCTACGACTCTCAAAACCCTAATACCTTATTTTCAACTGTACAAGTATTACACAAGGATTAGTTATTCAACTCTAGGTCTAAGTATTCTTTTATAACCATAAAGAAGATTGGATTTGAGCTTAAAAAATGCATCAATTCTGTTTCTCAAAATCTGCAAAATATTCTCCTCAAGAATAATTTCTTCAATCCTAAGTTTCCTAAAATGTTTCCACACTTTAGAAAACGGCATATCTTCAAATTCCAAGAGAGTCTCTGATTCCTTAATCTGAACGCCACCTAGGATACACAAACAGTTTTCTGCAATCTGAATTTAAATTAACAAATTCAAACCAGATTTAAAAACTGTAACAGACAAAAATGTTGAATAACCCTGTTTAGACATCTTGGTCTTCAAGTTCTGCTACATGTTAGGACATCTTATCCAACATGTTTCTGTCAAGTGTGTTTTATCAAAATTAATGCCAATCAAAACATAAGTAGCCTTCAATAAGCAAGCATATTCAAATTTAGCTTCAGATAATACGATATGAAAACATTTATAAAGAAAGCCACGAGACTAATAAAGTCATTGAACCATTTTTAATTTAATAAAGACATGAAAGCATTTTGACAAACCTTGATGAAGTATGAGTTGCTCACAAGTCCTTACTCGTGCTTGGATTCCAAGGAAATAATAGTTGATGAAGTATTAGTTGCTCAGAAAACAATTTGATGAGCACAATATTTATTATTTCCATTCACTACACTTTTGACATTAAGTTACTATCTTTTGATCATTTTTTATTTAATCTTTTCATCAGTTCCATCCAAGCTCCTCCTCATGAATTACAGGGGGAAACTTCTGGACCTTCTAAGCAAAAAAGGAAACGAAAAGGTAGATATCACATAGCTTCATTACTTTAGGATCCTTAAGTGGTCACCAATCCTTTGATAATTTCAGTTATCAAACCAAAAGAAAATACTCAAAAAAGTTCATATATAAGGTGAATCTATTAGTCACGAAGTCTTAAAGAATACATTTTCCTTCTACTGTGAATTTACTAATACATTTCACCAAAAAAGAATGAACATTTCATCTCACACACTCACATCTTACCTTCTAGTTATCATCTTATGCTCCATACTCACACATCACCTTCGAGTTATCAGACCCTTATTGTTCATTTTCATCTTTTAAATCCCACTTTTACACAAAATGTCTGTATTCAAGAATTGTTTGAACTGTTAATTCCACTGATTAAGTCGTTTAGGAGTTGAACATGTAAGTGGTTAAAAAATTAAAATACAATAAGTCTAGAAATGTAGAAATGAGCACATAGTAGCTAACAATCAAAGTCATTTAAAATTGTTGATGAAAATGTTTAAAACAAAAAGAAAATAAAACATAATCTACATGAAACTGATGAAATAAACAAAAAGTGAAAGGCTTGCATTTAAACCAAAAAAAACCCAGGACATTTAGACGTTGCTGAAGCCTCCATACAGTAGTTGTAATATGCATAACTATGAAAATAGTAGAAAATCATAGCCCTTTAGTTCTAGCTGTGTACAAATCCTTATAACTGTTGGTGATTTTAGTATCATCAATGTATTTTAGTAGTAATGTTATTTACTGTAGGCCGATGCAATTATGCGTTAAGTTTGGAAACGAGTTAGGGTAGTGCGGAGTGCACGCTCGTCGAGTCAACGTGTAATTGAATGCAAATAATTGAAAAGGGGTTCCGAGGGGCGAAGCCCCTGACGGGGTGCGGGGCAGCGCCCCGTTAGGGTTCCAAGGGGCAGAGCTCCTGGCTGGGGTCCCGCTTAACCGTTGAACCCTTTCCTGAACAGTTGAACCCTTTCCCAACCAACTTAACCGTTTTCTGAACAATTGTGTCTTTTCGGTTTCTGTTATTAATCTCCTATATAAGGAGTCATTTGGCCTCAGTTTAAAACACTTAACAAAACCATACTTTCTCTATACATTCTTGATCTGTTCTCTATTGTCAGAAGCAGATTGTTCTTCAAAAATTATCCCCACAAATATTTCGTGAACCCAAGCAATAATAGGATCGAAATACTTTGTTCGGAAAGTGTACGAACACGATTCCCCGAAGTTATCCAGGATTATCATACTCAAATTTCTAACAAACGAACAAAGTATTTATGTCCTCTTCAGGAAGCAACATCAAGGAGATGACTACAAATTTCGGAAAATTGGACAAGTTTCAAGGACAAGACTTCAGGCGTTGGCAGAAGAAGATGCATTTCATGTTGACAACGTTGAAGGTAGCGTACGTCCTGTCTACACCGATTCCAGAACTTCAGGAGGAAGACACGGTTGAAAATCTGAGACGCAAATCAAAGTGGGAGAACGACGACTACATATGTAGAGGGCACATTCTTAACAGTATGTCTAATCCCTTATTTGATATTTATCAAAACATGGAATCTACAAAGGAATTGTGGGATTGTCTCAAATCCAAGTACATGGCAGAGGACTCATCTAGTAAAAAGTTCCTGGTAACCGATTTCAACAATTACAAAATGGTTGAATCGAGGTCTGTCATGGAACAATTCAATGAACTCCTCCGAATACTTGGAAAGTTCACACAACATGGATTGAAGATGGATGAAACAATATTTGTCTCAAGCATCATAGAAAAGTTGCCTCCTTCATGGAAGGATTTCAAACACAATCTGAAGCATGGAAAAGACGATCTGTCTTTGATCCAACTTGGAAGTCACTTGCGCATAGAAGAATCTCTAAGAGCGCAGGACGGTGACAAAGGAAAAGGCAAAGAAATTGTTGGACCCTCGGTTAATATGGTCGAAGAGGGTGGTAAGAACGATAACAACAAAAACAAAGGAAAGAAGCGTGCTTTCAAGAACAAAAAAGGCAGTTTCGGTGCTAACAAGAAACCGAAACTAGAATGCTGGAAGTGTGGCAAAACAGGCCACTTCAAGAAGGATTGTCGTTCCGGAAAAAGGCACGATAACGCGAAGGCAAGTGGTTCAGGAAAGGGGTTTAAGGACCAATCCGAAAACCAAGGTCAGAAATCAATTCGTGATTTGAATAGTTTGATTAAACATTCGGTTTCACTAAATTCTGAAGCATTTTATGTGCAGGATGATGCTATCGTGTGGTGGATTGACTTTGGCGCCACAACACATGTTTGCAAGGATCGTTTCTGGTTCAAGACTTTTGTTCCAATGGAAGATGGCTCTGTCCTCTACATGGGAGATGATCACTTCGCTCCCGTTGAAGGCAAACGAAACGTGGTGCTAGAATTCAGTTCTGGAAAGACTATTACTTTGTTTAATGTTTTGTATGTTCCTAAACTAGGTAAGAATTTAATTTATGGTCCTGTACTAAATAAGCTTGGATACAAGCAAGTGTGTGAATCCGATAAATATGTTTTATCGAAGTCTGATGTTTTTGTAGGATTTGGATATTATAATATTGGTATGTTTATGATGAATTTGAATGGAGTTCCTAATGATTTTGGTTCTGTATTTATGTCCTCTTCGAATGTTATCAATTCATCGTTATGGCATGCTCGTCTAGGACATGTACATTATAAAAGAATGCATGAAATGCCTAAAGATGATTTAATTCCTGTTTTTGATGAAAATGTAGAAAAGTGTAAAACTTGCATGTTAACAAAGATCACTAGGCAACCTTTTAAAAGTATAACAAGGAAATCTATCATTCTTGAGTTAATACATAGTGATTTATTTGATTTGCATGCTACTTTATCATTAGGGCATAAAAAATATTTTGTCACTTTTGTAACACCCATTTTAATTATTTAGTCATTTTATTATTATTTTAAATATTATATGTTGATGTGTCATTTGGTAGGGTGTATTTGATGATGTTTGGTGGGTGTCCCTGAGATGGGAGGATCATTGGTGGTAATTTGGTGAGTTTATAATAATATAAGAAATAATAGTAATATTGGTGGTGGTATTATTATTATTATTATTATTATTATTATTATTATTATTATTATTATTATTATTATTATTATTATTATTATTATTATTATATTTATGATTATTATTAATATTTGTAGTAATATTATTAATATGGAGAATATAATATTATTATTAATATAGTTATTATATTATTATGATTTTTGGTGTGAATATGATAATATAATGAATAATAGTAATATTGGTGGGAGTATTATTATTATTATTATATATTATTATATTTATTAGTATTATTAATAGTATTATTATTTTGGTGAGATAATAGTATTATTACTATTATTATTATTATTATTATTATTATTATTATTATTATTTTGGTGAGATAATAATAATAATAATATTATTATTATTATTATTAATAGTATTATTATGATTAATATTATTAATATTATTTTATTATTAGTATTAATATAATTGTTATTATTATCATTAGTATTATTATTATTATAATTATAATTATTGTTGGGTGTATTACTATTATTATTATTAGTATGTTGAATATTACTATAATATTACAATAGTATTATATTATTATTATTATTATTATTATTATTATTATTATTATTATTATTATTATTATTGGGAATATTAGTGGTTGGAATAAGTAAAATAAGAAGTGGAAGGGTTACGGGGAAGTTAGAATGGAAATATGAAAAGGCACGATAGAAACCGTGAGAAGGGAAATTGGGAGAATAGAGAAGAGCGAAGA